AGAGGTCTAGACCCCGAACGAACCAACCAATTGGAACTTATCGGTTGTGTTGGCCGCTCTAAGCAGATTGCCCTTTGAGCCTCTCCGATCAGCACCACTCAAACGTGTGATTCGAAAAACAGTCTTCCTACTCACCTTCGCCTCAGGTATGCGGCGGGCTGAACTAGAGGCCCTGACCTTCTCATGATAAAGACATGAATCAGGTTTCTCGCCAGGAAGCAAATCCCAGAACGCGATCCACAACCGATCGTCATGCCTGTAATGACTGACAAGGAGGCAGCACCTGAATTTCTCTTGAAGATAGTGAGATGCAACTGCTTCATAGACTGTCGCAGTCCGAAGTCTCAGAATTATAACTATATAATACAGTTTGTTAAATCAAAAGTAAAATTTATAGAGTTGAAAATTCACGTTTAAATGGTCTATTATGTATATAGTATAGCAGAATTGTAGATCCAACCATAGTGTTTCATTCTCTAGTTTTTCATTTAGATGTGACGGCCATGTTGGATTTATGCAGATGAAGCACCCATCTACTCAGGAAAACATTTATTTACATCTTTTTTGTACTGTACGATTCTGTTTAAAATTGTATTCTAGCATCTTAAACTTAATATTTATGCCACATAGAAGAAAAGCTGGAAGAGAAGTTACATTAAATAATTATATTATCGCGGCCATATTGGATTTATGCTAATTTTCATCTACCCAATCAACACATTTGGCACTCTCATACCGTCTCCGCCTCAAAACTGTACCATAGCATCATGCATTTTTAAAATACCTCTTCTAGAATTAAAGATATGTTGAAATAGTTATATATTCCATATTGTAAAAATGTGCAAAACGCCATTAAACGGCCATTTTGAATATATGCAAATTAGGTATATTTCGGAAGCCTAGATTTTCCTAGACTTTTAGTATGTCAATCTAGATACCTTTCTGAAAAGCGCTCTGAAGAAATTATTTCTGTTGTAATTTGTTACGGGTTGGCCCCCCTTTTCTAGAATGAATGGACTAAATAATATTTGTTTAAACAAGTCAATTTTCCTCAATAGCTAACTTTCATATATTGTTTTAAAATCTCACAAAACAAGCTATACATACAAACGTTAGAGAATCATTAAAAAGGAAGAGAAGGTTAGATTGACTATCAGTGAATTGCTTTCCTAACAATTTATGTAAGAAAAAACGTTGGACAGTAGACTAGTAGATTGTAGTGCGTCATGAAAGTGCCAGATTTACCATAATGGTGTTCATTCTGAAGTGTGCCCAAACAATATATGTTTTTGTGAATATATTGTTTTAACATTTTAACATAATTACGCAAATTGCAAAAACATACATGAACGAGTAAATATGTAACAATACATTGATGACATTGTGTGCTCGCAAAATAGTATTGTTATTCTCATACAAGTAAAATAAATATATAGAATACAATAACATTAGTAATATATATTGATATATACTTGAAAAAATTGTAATTAATATAATAATACAGAGAGAAAAAATAGAAAAATATTTAAAAAATTATACCTTAAGTATATCTTTGATTGAAAGAAGATTGTATTTTTAAATAGTGATGCCTCAACAGGGAATCGATGTTGCTAAAGTTTGACAAGATAGTTTGTGCCATAATTCAGCAAAAAGCGCGTCAACAGAAAAAGAGCGGGGGTAGATCCCCCACCAATACTGTCAGGATCAGTTGATATGATTTAGTACATAACGCTATGTCTTCAGTGGCGATATACTACGCCTAGCTTTGGGGTTGTTTCGAGAAAGAATGTAATTACTTTCTTATATAGATGTCTTACAAACTAGAAGATGCAACAATTGATAAGATAAATTAGAAGAATATAGTCAATTTACCAATAACCTCAACGAAGTAACACGAGTTAAAAAAATCATATATTGTTTTATTATTATAAGATTTCACAACTGAAGCCACACATTCTAGCACTGTCAGAAAATCCGTTGAGCCAACGACTGCATTATTAGAAGAGACTACGTTAACAGGTAATGCCATATAAAACTGCAAATTTCCTGAAAAAAATTTGCAGCAACAAATTGCAAGAATACAAACTAGCTGTACAACTCAAATTCAATTTCCTCTTATAAATTACTATTTGGTGTCCAAACATCATTATTGTATCGCAAATTACTGGTTATTGAGTGATTTGTTAACATTTGAATATACAACTTTCTAATATATACACGTTATCTGAATAAGTCATAGAAATTAGGTTCACTAGTAGGAATTGATTGTTAAATTTAATATTATATTATCAATATTTACCTATATTTCAGTATACTTATTACGTATACATATTTTGTAAACATGTAGTACATTCAGAACGGCGCGACAATTGATATTTGATTTTCATGTTTTACAGAAGTTGTTTCTATGGATGAGAGTTAGTTAATACATATGTAGTTAACAACTACCTAAAATACATCGTTGATTGAATGAACATTGCCTTGGTAGATATGGATGCGATTGACAGTACTTTGGCAATGTTCGGACAAAATTACTATTAAAAACCAAACTCCTGGGCGACGGAATAGAGTTGAAATGAATCATAGATCATTCATATGATTATTACTTATAAATTGTTTCGACTGATTTGAAACCTACAGCCAGCATTTCAAGGCTAAACACAGATAGAAACACTACTAGTAAAGGGATACTTAAAACTACTGTGGAATGTTTTCATATTCAACCTCGATCATTATACCCACAATATGACAGACTAATAAGACACGTATCATTTGTTATGGTTAAACAAACAACACAAAGAAGTGTTTATGAGTACACATAACAAATAAACAAATCTAAATATATATAAAAATACAATATTTGTATAATTGTAGACTTTATAACTAAAGCTAAGTATTCCATTATTTTCAAAACATCAGTATCGTCAACTATTACATGTATAGACACGGCTACAGTTACAGATAAAATTAATTAATGGTTTGGAAAAAACTTGGAGGGAAATGAATACTACAATTTAAATCCAAACTGTGCTCATTGTTGGCAAAGGTGGTTTCGAAAGTGCCGTAAAAAAACTAATAATAATTATTATTATGAGTTGTTTGATAAAATTGCCCCAGAGATTTACTGTCTGACAGAATGACCGCCACAGGTGTATAATCAGATAATGGAACTTCAAAATGTGTGTAATTTTTGCATTTTATTCAATCAAGCACTTATAGCGTCAGTATTATTGCTTGTCAATCTGTATTATTCTGTCATTCTTGGCATATATGTCACACTACAATATCATCCAGTACCAAGTATATAAAATGAGGGTTAAAAAATGTCAATTTTGTTCTATCTGTATTATCGTATTAACCTCTGAAAGTCTGCTTCGTCTGTTCATTTATTTCCAGATTTTAAAACTGAAGCCTCTAGTATAGCGCCTACTGATGGTTCAACAGAATTACCTATTACACAGTTTGATGAAGCTACTACTACAGGTCAGTTGTTTCAATCAAAAGTCAATGGTTCTATTTCAGATTAGATAAATTAAAACTACATATTCAATTTTACCCCAAGAGTATATTATTTCGTAGACAAGTCAATTTGTCTCAATTGTTAACTTGACATTTACACATTAAATATTATTGGTGAGATTATTTTCAATTCACCATATTTGTATGGAAGTACTGAGAAAATTATTGATAACGGTTAGATGGAAAATGAGTACTTCCCAACAAGTTTTGTAAGGAATAATGTTAAAATTGTAGACTAGGTCACTGTCACAAGAATTATGTTGGAATAGTCGATTTGTCATTAAACTACCACATTTTCTAAGATGTCGGTCATTGTCCATTTACTGAAATTTGCCGAAACGTCAAAAGATAAGTGGCTATGGCAAAAAAAGAGATATGTCTTTGTGAATAATTGTTTTAAATTGAAGATGACATTTAACACAATTTTGAAAAACATGTGAAATGAAAGGTGAAATTATTAAATTGTCTATAGTGATGTTTTGTCATGTCATGAGGTCGGTATCAATATGCTTGTATTGTGATTGTATTCCTTTATTGGAACAAAGTAATCAGTTTGAACGATTTGCATTCAAAATTACCTTTGTTTAAGCTATAACCTGGCTTCATCATGGTCAAAATAATTTTTAAAAACGCAATCATCATATCAATAATACTTATATTAAACTGATAGTCGGAAAATTAGTCAGTCACAGTGTAGGCATGAGCGACTAATTATGGAACAATGCATTGATAATAATAATTTGCTCACATAATATATAGTGTTTTTATTCTCTAACCAGGATAATAAATAAATGAATAAAAAAATATTAGTAATAATTATAGATATATACTTTACAAGATGCAGACAATAATGTCAATCCCAAATATTGTTTTAGGAACATAAATATATTTTAAATAAATAGAGAAAAATTTCAAGCTGGAATTTATTTTAAATTGTTACTTCCATGATAATAATCATTGTAGTCATATTTCATCACATCTGATTTGGGGTCAAATGATTAATTAGACTAATTCCTGTAGTTTTTCATCACACTTCTACAATTCATATGTATTATGTCATTAGGTTCTACCACAAGTAGAATGACTACGGATGTAGATGAAACAAAATATTTTATTCCACATATACGTGTTACCACTGATGAATTGCAATCTGCACTTAAGGAAATAACTCTTCCAGGTAGGTTATATCAATTGCTCTAATATTATTGGGTACCTTCTTTTTAACTACATGAAAGTTGCAACCAATGGCCCTGTGGCTTTTGAAAGTAAATGATAGTATGGTGGCCAAATAAATAAAATATCTGGTATGTTTACCTTCTTCACTGAATGTCTCATCCATTTTTAAATCTTTTATTTTGTTATTAGATTTCACAGCTGAAGCTACACATTCCAATATTGCTAAAACTACATTATTAAAAGAGACTGCAGGTAACAATATCAATTATTTCAAAAATGTACACCTAAAAACATCCAAACTAGCAGTGCAACTCATAATGAGCAATATGACGAGCAATACACGTTCGTGTTGTTTGTAAAAAAAATCACGGATTTGAAAAATCAATTCTATTATTAGTTACTAAATGGTGTCCAAATATTGTGATATTGCAAGTTACAACTGGTTATTGAGTAATTGTTTGTCGAGTTTTTTTAATGAATTACCAATATTTGAATATATTTATTTCAAAATTAAAGTAGAGATATGCATACAAAAGAAGAAATGTTATTCCATATGATATGGAAATATGTGAATGATACAGTTTTTAGTTAATTTGGATGACATTACTGAATTGAAAAACAAGGTTTAGATAACAACGTGTTCACCAGCGTAATGCATAACCAACGTAACATTTAAACACATGTGTTGATTTGAGTCAGTTATATATGCTATTTATTTTGTGGTTTTGCACAGGCAAATTTGACACGTGTCGTTCTACTTGTATATCTTCTACGTGAATAAGAATATCGTGTTGTGTATAATTTCAATTGTCTACAATTAATTTGATTTTTTTCAGATTTCACAAGTAAATCTATACATTCCAGCATTGCCGAAACGTCTCCACAGTCAACTACTTCAATTACGGAAGTGACTACTTTAACCGGTAAAATTATTTAATGAATGTCATATTTTGGAAAAAGTTTATTTTTGACTGTGAGATGATGTCGAATTGAAGGGTTGTACATCCAATTAATCATTTAACCTAATTGTTCGATACTGGCAGATCTATTTACAGCCGTTGCTGTAAGGGTGACTGTAGACAGTACTACTGGAACAGTAGGTAAACTAACTAAAAATAGTGCATATTTCGTTTATCAAATTTAACCTTATATTTGTTGCAGTAATTATAATATGTAGTTATACGCAGGAATGAACATAATATTCATTACAAACCAATTAGAAATAATTACAGCCGAAATTAATTGGCAAAACGTATTTGCAATTACATTACCGTTAACAAACTTCCTTTTAACATTAATTCAGACTGAATCTCTGGACAAATGACAAATAAAACATGATATGTGGTTGTTAAAAATAGCCTTCGATAGATTAGAGTTAACTTGTTTAATCCTAGTTATACTGCCCGGCCACTGTTCCCAAAATGGTGCACATTCGAGAACAGTATCATCAGCCGGGAAAAATCGGCTAGGCATTGCACGAGAATAAACCGTATGAATACAATTAAGAATATAACTAAAATGACATAATGCAATAACGAATATAACAAGTCGTCATAACCTAATGACAAATGGATATATTAATACGGCAAATAGACATTATACAAACATGTGGTCGAACAATTTTAGCGATCCGCAAAGCTCATTGTCAACCATGGCAAAGCTAACGTTCACAGTGAGCTCTGACGGTCTCTAAAACTGTATGTCCATCGCTGGTATTATTAACAATTGTATAATTATACTGAATACATTTTGAAACAGAAATTGTGGCTCTCAATCTTGGCATTATTCCAGGGCGCACCAATATACAAATTGAATTAGTTCAATATCAGTGATTGGATTCAATTAAGTTTTATCTTGGACGCCTTATTTACTTTCATGGTTGTGTTGATAAACCTAATTTCAGGAGCTTCAACCTGACGAAGAATTACGAAGCGTTCCGAACTAAAACGAGGTGCACACGGACCTACACACTGCTTGAGTATAGGCCTATTTTAACACCATTGTCTCTCAAAAAATACACTGTAAATTATATGTAAATATACTAAAAAAATACACAAAATACGTAACTAAATCAAACAAAGCGGTGCAATCTCAAGTCCGCGACTCTCAGATTCTGTAGAATGACGGATCGAATGTCTCAAAGCGCGTAGCTGTGCAGGCTGGTGAAACTCGCGGCAAAATGTCACGCGAAATCGCTACATCATAGTATTCTCTCCAATGGAATAGTCAAATAGTGAAAACAAACCTGGCAAACTAATTATTTCATGAATATTGCCGCGTATCGTGTTATTGAAGTAAATCAGGTGAATACGGGAGGACAATACCCGGATGGCGGTAAACATATGAATATGACAGCAGGAAGACATTATAAGTCTACTTGTAATGCGTGAACCTGTATGGGTTTTCGTAGTCATAAAAAGATACGGCGAATGAACACAATGCAAAGACTAATTGACATAATATAATGACAGACTGACTTAATATAATGACAATGACCATACTTTAATGACCAATGGACATAACCAATGCGGAATAGTTATTGGTCAAAACAAACGCATTGATATAATGTCATAAAATGTGTTGTGCAGACGCTCGCAATGCTTGAATTTTATAACATGAAGGGGTTCGTCGTACTTTCATAAACAAAGAAACAACTTTTCTTGTATGTATTGATGACAATGATTGTCATACTGAATATATTAAATTAGGAGCATACTTGAAATAACACAATGTAGAGAAGACATTACACTAATTATTATTATTGAGGTTTATTTCAGATTAAAAAAGAATAATCCATAGAAGTTAAAAAAGATGTATACATCAAAATATCTCTTGCACCACAGTTTCAAAAAAACATTATCCAACAAATTGGAAATAGAAAATACAGCTGTAACAAGTGGTTTGCCAGACAAGTGCAAACGTGAAAGAAAACTAAACACTTCTTCCTAACAATTTCGTCAAACGTTAAAGAGAAAAACCAACAAACATCAAACTATTGCTTTGAACATAAGAGTGTTTAAAACCGGACAATTTTCGAAAAAAACACACTTGTGAATGAGCTCTGCGCAAATTACGATAAGACTGAATGGTGAAATTACAACATGAATAATATGAAACATCACAAAAACAGAGAAGAAATAACACTTAACAAGCAATGATGCAAACTTAAAATCACGAATGATAACATTGCCTCTAACATTAAACATTCTGGTATTGTTATATATATCACTATGATCTTTAAGATCAGAGGTTATTAAATGACCCAAATATTTATACACGGCAACATACTTAAAAATTCTACCATTTAAAAGGATAGACACTTTATAATGCGATAATTATTATAATGCGAAGTCTTCTTTTCATTAAAGAGAACTAAACACCGGTTACTTAACTGACCACAACCATCCTCTAACATCTGCTGACCATATGATCAAGTAGAAACAATGACTATGCCACTGAGTTAAACTAGAGCTGACAAAATCTTACTAAGATTATTTAAATACACTGTAAATTTGATAGTCGAAATAATGCCTCTTTGTTTCACACCATTTGAGCACCGAACGAATCTGATAAATGGCAATTCCAACGAACAACACATTCTTGACACCTATACCAATAAGTCAATCATTTTTCAAACAGAATATCATGGCGAACATAATCAAAAGCTTTAGAAGCATCCATTAAAGTAACAAAACCCGGAGAATTTCGACGCTTATAATAGTGTAAAAATTCCTTCAAAACAAAAATGTACATATTAGTGCCATGACCAGGTTTAAAACCAAACTGGTTATTTGTAGTAGATAGAAACCCAGTGCAATGATTAAGGCATATTATCTCAACTTATATGCAACTGTTGTTACAGCAACTGGACGGTAATTTGATTTATCACAGATATCACCCTGAATCTTTGGGTATTGGGACTTCAACAGTAGTCATAAAAGGTGTAGGAGTAATTCCATAAACAAGTATAGCAGTAAAACAAAGAGACAATAATACATAAAGTCTAGAGGGTGTAAACCTAAAGTGTTCAGAAATGATACTGTCAATGCCGGTAGATACACCGAGTTTCAGATCTCTAACCAGATCACAGATTTTACTCTGATGAACCACCATGTCTTCACTAAACTTGTTAGTTAGATTGACTGTTGGAATGTCAATACCGGTTCAAAGTGTTTTTTCCACATTTCAGCAACCTTCACGACACCTGCACACCCACGACCGAGGAGGGCGCAGGAGCTTTACTCTTATGCTTTGTTATTTTTTTCCAGTAGTCATTCGGGTCATTTTTAAGCTGTTCTACTAAATCATTCGCACGAAATTGCTTCTCAGCTTACATACAATTAGCAAGTTGTCTATTGAACTGTGCTATAGATCTACGCATTATCTCAAAGAAAGGGCCAGATTTTGGAGAACCCTTATCTTTCAAAATTCGTGCTTTGTCGTGAAGATCCTTGACTAATGTGTTGTTGACTAACGAGTCAAAGAGGATACCCGATGACTTGGAACTACTGTCAGATCCCCAGTCGAATCAGGATTGGACATCCCTCAAGTCACTACTAACAGACCAGTTAAAGAGGCTATCCGACGAACTGGAACTACTGTCAGATCACCGGTCAAATCAGGATTGGACATTGTCGCATACGACTTATTTATCACTTCCGTGTCACTGAGAATGTTCTAGAACCGTACTGTGTCTGGGTGGAATATTCTAGATTTTTTTTTTTAGAAAATGGTTCAATAGGTAATAGAATACTGTATCGTGTGTATCGGAATCGTTCAGTTCCAGGAGGCAAGACGGTACGTCAAGTGGTTGTGCCGAAACTGTTGAGGACTCGTGTTATGGAGATTGCCCATGATTCAATATTTGGTGGACACATGGGGATAAAGGAAACAGAAGACCGGATTGTGACTAGCTTTTATTTGTCTGGGCTACATCCAGATGTTACCAGTTTTTGTCATGTGATGTGTGCCAGAAGACTGTTTCAAAAGGATCAGTTGTGAAGGCCCCATTAGGTAAGATGCCTTTAATTGATATGCCATTCAAGCGTGTGGCTATAGATTTGGTTGGACCAATTACACCAGCCAGTGACAGGGGTCATCTATACATCTTAACTATGGTGGACTATGCTTCACGGTATCCAGAGGCCGTTCCACTTAAAAATATAGATACAGAGACTGTAGCCGAGGCGTTGATTGACTTTTATAGGCGATTGGGGGTTCCAGAAGAAGTACTAAGTGACTTTGGGACTCAGTTTGTGTCA